GCACTTATAATTTTAGTGATCAATGCGTCGTGTAATAATAATAAACTTAATCAACACTTCGTATTCACCTTCTGATTAATACACCATTGAGACGTTATCTAGTGACGCATATCAAGACAAACTATATACGAAGTTTAAGGATTTTATCGTGAATACTGATCATTATAATCTAATTTTTAGAATAGTTGCATTCATGATGTCTAGAAATAGAACAGAATAACTATTACATAACCTCATGATATCAAATAACCATATCAAAAAAAAAGAAATAGAGTGATTGAAAAATTAAAAAAATCAACGAAAAAAACACTTCCGTGATAGTTGAAATCATGAATCAATTGAAGCTAGACCACCATGGAAAACCTGGAAGCACTGGACGGCCGTTTCGTCCTAGTATGGGACTCCTCAGCAGTGCGCACCCACGATCCCGCCCCCCGCGGGATTCGAACCCAGGACCTATCAGTCTCGCGCTAGGCGCTTAACCAACTAGACCACTGAGCCGGCATCCAACGGTGTTAATGTCTAACTTCAACCAATCCACGAAGTTGCGCCACCGTCACCATTGTCTTCAGTGAGCTGATATCTCACAATTGATTCATGATTTCAACTTCCGTGATAATCAATAAAGGTAAACAATTATAAAACAATAAAATAATCAAGTTTGTTTACATGAAATGAAGATTTGTCATAAATTCTTAAGAAAATTGACAAATAACAACAACAATAATAACTTTAATAATAATAATTAAACATTATTCCTTTAATTATTTATATTCCCTTATAATAATAATTATACAAGATTTAAATGTATTGCTACTTTCCATTACAAATATTGTTGATCACTTTATTATATAAATATATGTTTATTAGAGCATAACATGAAAATGTATAAATTAAGAAAACAGGGAGAGAGAGAGGGGGGGAGAGAGAAGGAGGGAGGGAGAGAGGGAGAGAATGCGTGAAACTGAAAACTATTGCTCAAACGAAAAAAAAATCATTTGCTTCATTCTTCTTTTTTTTCGTTGTTTTTACATGAAAATGTTCTTAGAATAATTTGTTATGCTTGAAGAGTTATGATTATTATTATTTGTTATTTTCTTCAAGTATATCTGTTTTATAAGGTGGTAGTCGAAAATAGATGATAGGGAAACTTGGACTTAGATTTTTTTTCTATCTATTACTTATCAGAAAGGTGTATCTGTAATCTAATGAATGCTAATTAGCAAGAAAGTTAAATTTAGAATTCATCTAGACTAGTAGCTATATTTCAACTTGATCGATGGGATTCGATCTGTACTAAGGACCTGACATACATGACATTGGTTACTTGCAAATGATTAATCAACTGTAAATATATCTTTTATTATTAATTTCTTGTTGTTGCCCTAGTTACTACTTTGTTTGTTTTCTATTTACTTGTAAAGTTCATATGATTTGTATCAAATTTAGTACATTACAAATCAAGTTTGAGAATATGAATTATTTAAAAGTGTTAGTTCGTGATAAAAATTATATTCCGATGGCAATAATCTTTGGACGAAATTTAATTCTTTCTCTACAAACTGAAGCTGATATTCAACTACTGCTCCTAAAATGTTTTACTTTCTGTCTATGAAGACAGGTACTTACTCTTAATGTTGGAAAACTACATTCACTTTACCACGTAACAAATATGGAGTTAGGAATGACAAGAACAATAATCGGCCCATAAATATCACTGCAGTTTTCTTCAGGATTGTGAAAAAACTTGTTGCCGATGAACTCTCCATCTATCTACTCACTGAAAAACTTATCACTGATTCTCAACATGGCTTCCCTGAATTCAATCTTGTATGACCTGACATTTTGACTTCTCTGGTTTAGTCTTTACACAATGTAACCGAGGATATTTAGTATTAGTGTTGTACTTTGGCATTTCTAAGGCACATGATATAGTTAATAACTAGCTTCTTATGGGCAAAATCACATCTTAAGTGGTCAAAATCCCTGTGCTTGTTTGACTTAACTCTTCCCTAAGCCATCAACACCAAATAGTTAAAATTAACCCCTATCTGTTGGATGCAGTCCTGGTCAAAAGCGGCGTAATACAAGGTAGTATATTAGGCCCTTTGTTCTTTTTAGTCTATATAAATGACATTTTTGATTTTGTCTGTATAGGTAAGCCTTTCTGCTACATCAAGAAGATCTCAAAGTAGTGTGCTTATTTGCTCCTCATGAGCTGAGCAATATGCGAAATTGAATCATTATAGAGCTCAACAAAGTAGTTCGGTAGTACTCAAAATGGTAGTTGGAGCTTAACATGGCTAAATGTGGATGGATATACTTTAGTAATCATTCACTCAACCAAGAGTTTACCACAAATATCAAGGTGTTATCCTAGTAAGATAGAGTAATGAACTTAGGACCCATGTATTCCTATAGTTTCTCCTCCTCAGAACAGGTCTTGAAACAGACCTCCAAGTTTCAACGTCATTTGAGTTGCATAATTTGTAACCTCTATGACAGTTTGTGTTCCACCACTCCTAAAATACTGTATGTTTATTCTTAGTAGTGTTAGCATAAAGAATAAATTTAGGCTGGAATCCGTTCGTAGACGATTTTCCCTTCACACTCCATGGACTGATTGTAACTTATATTATAAGTCCAGATGTAATAAACTTGTAATAGATGCAACAAGTAAAGTGAACTTTTATTTCAGGTATAAATTTTGTTTTCATAGTTTGAATCTCTATTTAATCTTAGTTGTACAACCAGGGAAAACTAGTAACCACTGGATAGTCATTTCATTCCAGTATGAGATTCTTCAACATTGTACATCCGTTACTAGATTTTCTAGGTTACATCCGTGGTGGGGTTGTGGATGTAATCTGATGAGGATTTCCATTCTAGGATGAAACAACCTTCCAGTTTTTTTAGTTTCCAATAATTATCTAACTAAGATCAGTCTATACTGTTAACTATGAAATTTTAACAATGTCCACAAACTTACAAAGTTTTTCATATGTCATGTTTAACAAATAATGATGGTTATTTATAACAAAACAGTATGAAAACCATTTAAGTATAATATTCTTAATGACATTTGGTTATCCTTCAAATATCAGCTTTTATTTCTCAACGTTCCTTTGGTTACTAATATGTAACAGATTACCAGTAATATGTATTTCTAGGTCCGATCTCATGTAAGAGATTACAAGGTAGATATCCTTATCATTACAGACTATAAAGAACATTAGTTTTATCGTATATATCAAATGAAACAATTATAGAGAGCATATATAATTAATATAGATGGTCCTAACTTTTTTGATTCATGATACTTTAAATATGAAACATTCGTTCGCAGTTTAAATCAGTGATTTCCTTTGAATATTTGTCCACAAAACATATACAAAAATATGATTTATGGAAGAACCGATCAGGCATAAGATAACAGGTCTCGGGTTTTGGCGCGAAATTCATTCATCCATTCGGCTAAATGGAGTCTTGGCATTATAGCGGATGCCAGTTCGTGATGAAAACCTTAATTCTAATTCCTAACACTAACCATCAACTGTAAATCATAATTCTAACATCTCACACTAATTTATAACCTTCATTTTTTCATTTGGTTATCATGTGGACAAACTGAAGTTCAGTCTAGCGTCGCTCAAAGGTCATCCATAAATTATAGTCTGAGCAAATATCCTTACTTGTAAGATTTTTCGATATAGATCTCAGGGTAACTGGGAATAATATGGAACCATAAATCAATTTTTAGTTGAAATACATGATTAAGTTGCAAATCAAGCAAGTATCCAACTGTATTAAGTTTTCTCAAATTAGGAAGATAATCTGAATAATTGAGTTTTCTAGCTTGAAGTCTATGAATAGTCAGGACTACGAAAGCTATGCTGTTTATAGGAAGCTAGTTATTGATACAAGACGTGGAATAGAAAAGTTGATGATAAGTAGTGATGTATAATGGCTAGGAGTGGAATCCACAACACACGTTTCGTCAAACTCGGGACAAGCTAGTAGCTATCTGGACACAGCAGATAAGTGGATAATGTGATAGCGTTTGAAAAGAACAGTATTAGGTTCGAGTTGCGGGGTGAACATCAACTCCAAGATGTAGGCATATCCAGTTGATAAATCCCAAATAGGACAGAACGCGCCTCCTGGATTCCGCTTCTAGCCACCATCTATATCTGTTAATAATACTTGTGGTGCGAAGCAATGTCGAAGCAATCCTCACAGGATACATAAATGTTAGTAAGAGACGGATCAATTGCAGTCTTATCAATCGATGAGCGGATTCATATAACTAATACAAGATGAATACTGCAAGTATGCTTTTACAAAATAAACGATATATGATACATATGCAAACAGGAATACCTTGTTACACTGTATCAGTGGAGAGAGATAAAACTATCAAGTTACATGTCAGAATAGAATGAGTAGTAACGCGTCTCCTGGATTCCACTCCTAGCCATTATCCATCTCTGCTTATAATGCTTGTAATGTCATGCAATATAGAGGCAGTCCGTATAACAACCACATATGTTAATGAGAGACGGATCAATAACAGTCCTAACCATCAATGTGTAGATTCAAATAACCAATACAAATAAATTATAGCTAACGGTTTTCCAGATATCACAGATCTTTTATTTCAAATCTATTCAGGTATGAAACTTCTATTTACTTTGTTTTATGGTAATAAGAAATTGATAGACACTAATGACTGAAATACAATCAAAATGGGAATACTAAAGTGTGTTATTTTATTCTGCTCAATTATAATCAGAATAGAATATTAATAGGGCTATTATCAATTAAGCCATTTTATCATGATAATTAATTGTTACATAATTCAATGTGCTTGATTTCATTGTATAAAACAATCAAATCTTTCAAACAATGTTATGTAATATATACAATGAATATATAAACAAATAATACAATAATGATGATGTTATTACTGAAAAAAAAAACACAATATGCTTGACACTTACTTCTTCCCATTCACTAACATAACGAACCAGTCGAGATAATCTTAAAAGTCGTATTAAACTTAAAAGTTTTACAAAACGTAGAAATCTTAGTGCACGGCCTATATTGAAGGAATAAACAACAAAAACGAAAAAAAAATATACCACTGAATAGTGTTATTGTTTTTTTAAAGCTTAGAATTTAATAAATGAACATTTTTATGTGATATTATTCGATTTATGTGAGGGTTGGGATACTGCTCGAGTGCCCAAACCGAAGCAGGTGGTATTTTTAGGGGGGTCGCAATTCAAGACTTCAATCTGAAGATCCGATCCACAAGGTAGTGAAGACGTAGTCCCATGGTAGCTGGTGACCAACAATAGGTTCATACGCCATTTGTTTCCTTAGGATCGTGGAGCTCATGTGCACCATTGGTTTAGAATCATTGTTTACCAATTCCCCTAGGTGGATCCTTCGCATCCACCAACCAGGTTCAAGCGCCGAATATTCACTTTTCATCCTCTCAATTTCGTAAACAATACCCCGGTTGCGAGTAGGCAGTGAGTAAGACTTCCCTGGCATTGGTTGTATGGACGTGGCCATGTGAGAGCATTTCGAGAGGGAGAGCTAAATTTTACCACTCTCGGCTATAACAGGGAATTTGGGGCGATAAGAATATACTCACCATAGATTTGCTTTCATTCCATTATTATTGTCAGATGGGTCTTTTTCAGGAGATTTTAGGATTTTTTAAAATAGGAATCTATGAGTTATCTTATTCTCGACTAATATGATAAGAGTTATTAGAATTAAAGTTAACATTTTCACGGAACTAAACTTGTCACTTAATAAGTTTATGATTGATTGTATGTTGGTTCTCATGATGCCCAGATATAATTTTTACAAAAATATTCAAGAAAATAATGTGAAAAAATTAAGAATGAGAGTAAGAAGAAAAAAACACAAAATAGTTTCAAGGTAATAATATCACAGCCAGGATAATGCATGAAGAATATCAGTGCAAACTGAATTGATGATCCCTGAGCGATAACCAGTAATTGTAGTCATTTCAGTTCAGTAAGAGATCAGTTGATACTTTAATAGCTAACTGATCATGTCTCAAGCTAAAAATCTAGGTGATGCATCACTTCATTGAAGATTTGAACTATACTTTGTCGACGAATTCCAATTGATACAAAATCTAGTCCAAGGATCGCCTATCAACTATTCAGAATCAAGAACCATAAACAGAAGCTTTGGTACTATTCAGTACTACCATCTAAGATATATATTGTCAAACCAAATAATTAATTTTGATATAAAATGACACTTATAATGTGAGTCAACATTTTTGTCCATATTCACTGTAGTGACTGGTTCTAAACAATGAAATCAGAATTTCTCTTAATTCATTTCCTTACCTACTTTTTAATATTATGTTCCTCTTTCGTATTCTGAAGTTTAGAAGTTTTCAAAGTCGTTCGAAGTAAAATGACATAATGACATAATTCATCTCAACCTTACACTAATTAGTTATTGAGAAGTAATCATTATTACGATTTCACGTCTTTAGAATCAGGTTGCAGCAGGGTCATTAAGAAAAATGACATGACAATGCAATGCAGTTTGTTTGATGTAAGGTGATTGAAAGCAGTAGAAATCTATGAAAATAAGGTTTGTTTTAACTGATATGCATTACAAAGGCCTATCTTCAATCTATCATTCGAACAGTCTATTGATCATATTTGATGATATGAAAATAGATTAACCGGGTCCCATAAAAATCAATGCAACTTTCAGCTTATAAATTCATTTTGCTAACACGCATCAATCATTATGAATTCAACATATATGGCTTTCTTCAAATCTGGTTTACTGGTTTTAAAACTTTGAACTTGAATTTCAAAACTAATAAAATATAATCAGTCTGGAGATTTGTACTATTTTCACAATTGAACTCACGAGTTGATCTAAGCTATACCACTACTGAAATCGTGGAAGCATTGGACAACCGTTTTATCCATACATAGGACCCCTAAGCAGTGCATATCCACGATACCATACGTGGGACTCCAATGCAGGATCATTGGTCTCATACGTAAAGTGTTGTTCAAGTGGGATACGACTGAGAATTTTGTTAAAACTCTTATGAACAGATCATTTTATGTTCAATCTAATCTGATTCAATCAAAAACAAAATATTTATCTATAACACGAATTAGTAAATTGGTAACTAACATCAACGACAAGAACAACAACAATATCATCAAGAAAAATAAGTCGACAAAACTTACCAGCGTGAACAAATTGTGTAAAATTTTCATTATCATGTAATATAAGATAAATATAATCCAATGGTAATGAGCTTAATAAATCTAGAAGAAACCATGTTTTCAAATATTGTCTAGCAATTTCTTTAGGATTGAGCATAATTTCATCTGCAAAATTATTCTTTATTATTCCTATAATTTTTGTTGTTGTTGTTGTTGTTGTTGTGAAATTGAATAAGAAAACAATAAAGGCATTGTAGTAGACAATAAGTTATTATTATACATATAGATATATATCATTATTCATTGTGTACATTATGAAAAGTTGCTTATGTTTTGAATCTTTTTATAAGTTTTAATTAGTATCAGAAGGGGTTTTGTGGAGATTGTAGTAATTTCAATAATTGAGATCATGAGTCAATTGTAGTTAGACAACCATGAAAAACTTGGAAGCACTTAACGGCCGTTTCGTCCCATTGTGAGCACAGTGCGCATCCACGACCTCGTCTCGCGTGATTCGAACCCAGGAACTATCATTCTTGTGTGTGAGCGCTTAACCACTAGACCATTGAGACAATGTTAATTACTTTATTTATTTTGTAATGTAACAAAGGAAGAGAATAAGAGAGAGCTAAGCAAAACGAAACGACTAGTAATGAGCCAACATCATTTTGTCAAGCGTGAATCGATTTTTATTATCGAACAAAAATAAGTTACAAAGATGTGATGAATAAAATAATAAGTGCACATACATACGCTTACATAAAAACAGTTAAGGTTGATAGGCGGATAATTGAAAAGATCAAAATGTGACTCAATAAGGATGAATAAATCTGCTTGTCCGGAAGCTAGAATAAACTATGTTGGCTTAACATAGTAACCGACTCAACAACTCATTTTAAGTCTCTCATGTCTTTCCACTTCATTTGAATATACTACAGAGGAAAAAAGCGCTACAAGTTGAAGTAAATGATATTTTGAATAACTAATGATGTATTTTGCTAGGTTTGAGGCTATTACGAGTTCACTTAGTATGCGAACGGAGCAAAGACTTGTGACCGAAGACCAATAAGCTAGATATTCTGATGCATGCCAGCCCCTCTAACTAGAGAAAGAAGTCCAAGCTTGGAATGGGGAAGTCTATTCTGCAAACAGCCAGAAACGAGTGATAACGACAAAGACGAATCAAAACGTATATATATATATACAGTACAAAACCGTCCTTTGGGAGAGTTACCGAATAGTATACTAAAAGACGCAACGGGCCAATAGCATTTAAGATATTTCCCAAGTGGGAAATACGACATGAAGATGACAAAAGCGCTTTTGGCGCGAAAACAAAGAAATTCAAATTTTCTAAATTACAAAATTAGGTCCTTTTCCAAGTGAGTTCTGGGGATTTAACGTCTTCAAAATATTTACAATTTTATTCTAAATATTTTGACTATTAAAGACAAAATAAACAGAATTTTTGTGTAAGTTCTCTTTTGATATTAATGTTAAGAGAACTTCTTACTATGATCACATTAAATAAACAACTTGAATAATGAAGCTGTATACATTTTATCGCCTTACTATGAGTGGTATGAATGTGCACAAATAATTAATAATTTAACTTCAAATTGTCTTTTTAAGAGATAGAAATTAGTATCTATTTTACTATCAGTAATATGTTAGGTTTCTCCTTCCTAATTTGGAACCCACAATTGGTGATTCCACTAAATGAAAGTTTCTATCGACAGTATCCAGTTGTATTGCTTTCTATTGAGGCATTAAAGTTTCTAGTTCAGAATAAATGACGTAGTGTTCAAAACATTACAACCAAAATCTGCGCTTAGATTCGTAACATTCTTTTCTTTAAACGACAAAATCAGAGGAACATAATTTATTTCGATGTAGACCTTTAGACAAGGAATATTGATCAATCGGTGAAAGAGTGATATAAAAATTAATCATTGTCTCCTACTTGGTCACTATCTATTCCAGCCTAATTATGTATGCTAAAATAAGTGACACAATTCGGTACTATTGTAGTGAACAAAGACGTAAGGTGGAGATAACTACACATTCTCTCTGTTGATAGCGATTTTTACAGCCAACGCAGCTCACCAGATCACTACACTCGACCTTAAGTTTCTGCACCAAACCTCCCCAACTAGCGCCTCCTCTCCCGGCCCCCCCGCCAACGGTATTTTCAGTACTTTAGCCTCTCCGCCTCTCCTTTGGCAAGGACTCCAAATGTTATGAGAAAAAATTTATTCGAGGTGACCAATTTGTTGTTTATTGCAATTCCGTTGTTGTCGTAATTACTCACTGTTTGCATTCCTGTTCTCTTCAATTCGGTTTTCTCAAACTTCTTATTCCAGGCATGTTACAATAACTTATATTTGTCAATATAAGCAGCATACACAACACTATTACTGTGTAAATAACATAATTACATATATCTCTACAGAAGCTAGAGTAACTCAGGACCAACATCTGTAACCACGATACTGGATGATACAAATGCTTATCCTATAATAAATACAAGTTCTGTCAAGATTCTAGATACTACTTACTAACAAGGGAAAATTGACACAAAATACCAAATCAGACCACCTTCCACATTACATCCACTTATCTAATGTTATCTACTCACTGTTGATAATATAAGATAACACCACCTGGAGCCCTTCTTGAGCTACTGCCTGTCCCAAGCCCGGATAAAGGAGGGGAGTTTGGCATGAGTTTAGCGACCCTATACCGTAAAAAACCAACTCGCTAAAAAACGCTAACCAGAAAAAAATTATTCAAACTATTTAAACTCTACCCTGGGGAGTTAGAAGTTCTTCATTTAGAAGAGTTATGATGCTTCATGATGAAAGCTGAATTCCTTTGGAAGTCACAAGGTTGATACCCAACCAAAGCAACCATTAATTTAAGTACATGGAATACTCGTACAATATGAGAGACCGGGAGTGTTATTCAAATTGCTGCGAAAAAATCAACTCACTGTTACATTATACTCGAATACATTAAAATGAATAATTCATAATATTAAACAAAGTAACTTCGTCAATCATTAATGCACATATATATCAAGTGAAATTCTTATTATCAGTGTCAATCACTTTATCTTGTCTTAGAATCTTCCTTTAGAACTATAAATATACATATGCTTCGAGTGTTTTACAGTTTCTCAAGACTTATTTCTCTTCAATAGTTGAATAATTGATTGACAGACTATAAATGCATATATATATATATATATATATATATATATATATATATATATGCATAATTGTTTTTGTCTGAAACAGTTTTCGATTTATTTAAAAGCATTATCTAATACAATATACTTCCTTTAATACTTATCCATTATAAGGTAATTGGTTTTTTATAAATAATAAAACAAAAGGCAAATATAAAGAAAAAATTAAAATCACAATAAAAAAAGTGTTAATAGGAAAGAAAACAATGAGTAGAATAAGACACAATGTAATCGAAAAAAAAGAAGAAGAAGAAGAAGTAAGAGAAGAAGAAAAAGAAGAAGAAGAAGAAGAAGAGGAAATTGTGTAGGATTGTTGATGTAGAGATTAAAACTGTAAATAACTAAACGAATTACGTCATAGCAGCCAATAACAATAATAACAACAGTATGTCAATAATAATAATAATGATAATGGTAATGAATAAATGACATAAATATGCACCATACAATAGTTTAAGAAGATTAATATAATTCTTCTTTCACATCATCCGTTATATTCTTTTTCACACTTTTTTTTCTATGAAACATCATTCATCACTTTAACTACTATTTATTTGTAAGTAGTATTTTAACTATGAATTATCTGAATTGATTAGTTCACTAATATAAAGAGAGTTAAAAGAGATTGAATGTATAGTGTGTTTTATTACTATTATTATATCGTTAAACCAATATTTCTACCAACTCCGCCTGGAGCCCCTCTGGGGCTACTGTCGGTCTCAAGCCCGGATAAAGTGGGATGGTTGATTATGTGATTAACGAACCCATGCCGTAGGAATCTAACTCGCTAAAAAACGCTAACCAGAAAATAATTATTCAAATCATTTAAACTCTGCCCTGCGGAGTTAGAGGGTCTTCATTTAGAAGAGTTATGATGCCTCATGGTGAAATCCGAGTCTCTTCGGAAGTCACGAGACTGATGCACCTTCTGACAACCAGAGCAACCATTAATTTAAGTACATGGAATACTCGTACAATATGGGAGACCGGGAGAGTCTTCCAAATTTAATTTAAAGGAAAAATTATTAAAACTAAGAAGCAGTTCATTCTATGAATGAATATTATTTGAGGTGTTGGAAACAGAAAAAAATCAAAGAAACAAAAGAAACAAAGCAGGAGCATAGAATTAACTTATTTTGACCTAATTTAATAATATGTATCAGTGATGATAGACGAATCCATATCGATTGAATATGAATACTTTAAGTAATATCTTGACATGTAATGTCAAGTAAGTTATTATTGACGATTGTTTTCTATTAAGTGATATGAATATATGATCTGAAGATGATAACTGATAAGCATAAATGCTATTGTACTTAACCTAAATAGATTAACTAACATTGGATTAGTCGGTTTTTTATCAAAACAATCAAATAATAGTGAATATACCTCAATAGATTGAATTCATACCAGTTTGCTTATTGTTATTAATGCTAACTATAGATCAAAGTAAAAAGTATCTCGCGAGGCGGGATTGCGGATGCACAATACTGAGGAGTCCCACAATAAGACGAAACAGCCGTCTAGTGCTTCCAGGTTTTTGATAGTGGTCCAGCTTCAATTGACTTATGATTCCAACTATTAAGAAGAAATCCTCAAAGAAGATTTTTTTTCAATGAAATCGTTTACTTAGATTGTACGTTTTTATTTATAGTTGTCTTACAGATATCTGAATCTATAGGACAATAGAGAGAAGTTACATCAAGAAGTGATTCCAAATTTCAAATATCAAAATAAATATTAAATAATTTTCGAGAGTTTAGAGAAGAATGAGAGAATGAGAATGATCTGTGGGTAAGAAATGCTACAAATAGTTATCCACTTAAAAGATATGAAGATACGTAAACGTCACAATAACAACCGAATAATATTATCAGTTAAGATCATGAACTTATTTCAGCTAGTCCATCAGTGAAAATATGGAAACACTAAATGGCCATTATTTTCTAGTGAGAGATCAAGAGTGATGGGTTCGATTTCTGAAATAATTGGTCGTGAAAATACACTATTGAGGTGTTCTATAGTGGAACAAAACAATTGTCTTGTGCTTCCAGGTTTTCAATGATGTTCTAGCTAAGATCATGATTTCAACTGTGAAAAGTCTACAATTTCCAAAAAAACCCTGAAAATTTTTTTAGCCGATAATAATTACTGACTACGATTTAAAAAACCGAAAACTTATATAGAAAGCCATAAATCATGTATACAGTAGCCTCTTAATATAGACTCTACATGAACTGGCATTCAAATATTAAGTTTCATGTAGTTTATAATGACACCAAATAATCTAATGTAAAAGTAGAATAAATACTAATGAGTAATATAATCTTACCTGTACGAAAATTCACGCCAATATCAATAAGAAATACTGTATCTGATACACAATTGAATACAATCCAGTGAATACTTAAATCATCATTGAAGAAAGAGATTGCCACCGGTAGAATAATAAGATTTGCAATTAACAATAATAACATGATCAAATCCCAATAAAATCTGGAAGAAGAAGAAAAAGAAACACAAAACTTTTTATCATACTTCATCTTTGACTGTTATAGATATTGTTTGATTAAAATATAATTTATATCTGAAGAAATGTTTAAAACCTATAAGCATTAGATAGTTGTTTTAACCTATTATGAAACTCCTGAAAAGTATGCGTTCATAACCCCTTCAAGGAATCAACGGTAACATCACTAACTAGCTGAAATCATATGACCTATTAGTTTAAATGTATGGTAACATCGTGTGTGTGTGTGTGTAGTGCTGACAGGTGTTATACCAGAATGAAATATCTAACCAATGCTTCCTAGTTACTAATGATTATTTCAGTTTAGCTATTTCATGATTTAAACTGTTATTTAGTCAAGTATTATACATTCACTAGTAAATAAATGTTTTATAGCTGAATAATATCTGTTATATACAATTCTTTATAACCTTCCTGAATTCATAAACCTTTCTAATAATCATGTATATACTATTCTGACTTAAGTAATAATTAAATGTAAATGATATGCTCAATAAATTTTCAGGTAAAAAGATTTATTATTTACATATTTTTAAGATATTCATCAGTCACGTAATCTTTATCAGCAATAAACTAAATTCATCTTAATATTACAGTTTTTTAATCAAATGAATTCTTGCATCCTGATTTATATGTTTGGAAGAATAAAAAAATGAGATTGCCAGGAATTAGGAATAACACTCATGAATGATGTGTACAATAGTAATTTATTAACATATAAGTTTATATATTTTGGCTCACAATACTAGATAAATTCTACTTGCTTCCTTCCTTACTTACTTACTTACGCCTGTTACTCCTCGTAAAAGAGCATAGGCCGCCCAAAAGCAGTCTGCATCAAACCTTGTCCTGGGCAATCCTTTCCAGTTATTTCCAGTTCTTATTCATTCTTTAAACATATGCTTCAATTTTCCGACGTAATGTGTTTCTTGGCCATCCTCTTCTCCGTTTTTCTTCACAATTAAACGTTATGACTTGTCTCGTGATTGAGTTTGGTGATTTCCGTAATGTATGTCCTATCCACCAACTTCATTGTCTTTTCCTCATTTCTACTTCAGCTCAAAGCTGGTTAGTTCTCTCCCACAGTAGGCTGTTACTGATGGTTTCCAGCCAATGGCTGTTGAGTATTTTGTGTAGACAACTATTTATTAATACTTGTACCTTCTTGATGATGATTGTAGTAGTTCTCGAAGTTTCAGCTCCGTACAGTAGAACTGCCTTGACGTTCGTATTGAAGATTGTGACTTTGATATTGGTTGAATGTTGTTTTGAGTTCCATATGTTCTTCAATTGAAGGAATGCTGTCCTTGTTTTACCAATCCTTGCCTTTACGTTTGCATCCGATCCTCCTCGTTCATCGATGATACTTCCCAGGTACGTGAAAGTTTCCACATCTTCCAGAGCTTCTCTATTAAGTGTAATTGTGTTCTCCATGTTGCTTTTGAGAATCTTGGTTTCTCCTTTGTATATATTGAGTGCAGACAAATTCTATCTAACTCATAAAATCCTTACAGTTTAGCCTATTTTCATGTTTTTTTATCATTATTAATTTTTATATTCTTATTGTATAGCATGTATCTAAATAATGATAAACCTAAGTTAAATTATATCATATCCATAAAAAGAGTTTAAGTATTCAAATCTCAAGTCACGCTTAACAATAATTTTTTGTTGTTGATAGAACAATGAAAATAACAACAGTGCAATTATCAATAATGATTAATGTGATGATAACCAACAATTTAAAAAATAGAACAATTGTTGAAGGTAAGTGTTTTCAATCTAGTGTTAAACGTTACAAATCACTTCCTCTTGAGGGCTTAAGAAACGTTACTGACAATAAGGTTTATAATTTACTTATTATATGGATTTAATCATAAACATGATATTTTCAAGTCCCATTTGAGTCTTCAGTTAACATTTTCTAATGAAAGTATGTTTATTACATTGTTGTATGTACTTGAATTGTAATTTTCTTGACTTGTATCTTTTTTCTTTTTTTGTATTGTACTGATAGAACGCAATTTGAACCATTCGAAAGAATTATCTATATGGAAATTTTCATATTACTTTACAGTGTAAATGAAACATTTTAGCTTCAGATATTTAGTTACTAATAAGTAGTGTATGTGTTCAAGAAATCTACATTTTTGGTTAGTATTCGTATCAAATATCAGATTATAATATGAACTTTAATAAAATATATCAATTTCATGCTTTATAATTGTTTTATCGTGAATGTATTCAGAAACAAATAATGTATGTTATTCACTCTCAAGAAGTGAGCATCGACGATCCCGCATGCGGGATTCGAACAGAACGGCCATTCAGTTCTTCAAGGGTTTCAATGATGGTCTAGCTTAAATCGACTCATGAATTCAATTATTAAAATGTTTAAATATTCAATAGAAAACATTTTGGGTGTTTGATTAGACTAAACTTAAACGATTGTTTTACTCTTCATGGATGAATTTTTTCTTCGAAAAAAACCAACTCATCATTTGCTCTTAAGAGTAGATAAAACCCGGAGACTCTAATGGTTAATTATTGTAATTAAAGAAGTGATTATATTCCAACCCATAATAAAAACAATCACCAAACACTATTTGTCAAGTTGAATGTACCTCTATCTATTTAAAGTTAAATTAACTTGATGTAGTCAATTAGAAATAAAATAAATAAAAGAAAGTTTTCGAAGCTTTCATATATTGCCAAGCCCTATTGCATTAATAGAAAAGAAGCTGGGTAATACGGGATCGAATACTTCAAGTAACATCAGTTCCCTCAAGATTACAGATACACCTTACTGACGAGTGCAAAGTAGCACAGAACCTAGGTCCAGCCTTTCCTATTGACTATCTCCACCATCTTAATAAAAAAGAAGGTCAAACAATTCATCCAACTTAGACCATTAATCCAAATATCCATGGATTTAATCCTGTTTATATTTCACACCGCTAACAAACATACGAATACTTTTAATCTTACTCTTCCATATTATAAATATCACATTTTCTATACTTATTAACACACATACACACAAGTTGATGTCACTCACAATTACTATAATCTAAATGATATAATATTAACATGATCAGACCTATTTTAATTTTAGCTACCCCCTAAATATTCTATATTATTAGCTTTAAACTATTTAAACTAGTGTTAATTAAATTAATTAATTTATTCTCTGGAAAAAAAGGCTTACATCAAGTCACAAAATGTCAGAACTTCAATTTACTACCTATTAGGATTACAAAACTATATCATTATCTTAATTATTACTATTATTATTATTATTAGTAGTAGTAGTAATAGCAGTAGTAGTATAAGTATTACAATTATTATTACTATTAGTAGTAGTAGTATATGTATTATCACTACTGTTATTATTAATAGTAATATGAGTTTTACTATTAGTAGTAGTATAGGCATTAGTATTAATAGTAATAGTAGTATAAGTATTATTATTATTGTTATTATTAGTAGTAGTAGTATATAGCTGATACGAAACCGTTGTTCTAATATAAAATTTCTTTTAATTTTAATTAATCTGTCAAAAAAAATCTAAAAAATTTACTCCTCAAAATTACCATTAAAAAAAAACAAACAAACAAACTGGGAAAACAAAAAAACAGGATTGACCTTGAAAGAAAACCCCATCAAAACCAATTAATTCAAATCATAATTATTATGTAAACCATATATAAATTTAATTGTGATTTTATTCCATTCATATTAGTTTCTATCCACACACACACCCCCCAAAAAATCGGGAGTCATTTAATAAATAATACTTCCAATAATTAATTACTGTGTATACTTATATAGTTACTATTAAAGTTTATAAATAAAATATTTAATTAAATATGACATAATAAAGATATTTCTAATATAAATGAAATATGAATGAAAATATTTATAGGAAATTAGAATAGTACTAATAAATAAGTTGAATTTCTATTAATTTACTTTTATTACTTTAATAGTTGAGATTATGAGTTAATTGAAACTAGACCACCATGTAAAATGTAGAAGAACTGAACAACCGTTTCATCCCAGCATAGGACTACTCAGCAGTGCTCATCCACGATCCCACATCAAGAGATTCAAACCCATGACCTATGGGTTGCGCGAGCGTGAACGCTTAACCATTAGACCACTGAGCTGGCATCCAACGGTGTTAATGTCTAACTTCAACTAATCCACGGAGTTACACCATCGTCCTTTATTGTCATCAGTGAGTTACTAGCTTACAATAGAACACAATTGAACTCCACTGGTCACTGCTTCTCACTAGAACTCCAGGAAATACCTTTTGAAGTCAGTCAATAGTGTGCATATGTTGGTTAGTATCAGAAGGGATTTTGTGGATATTATAGTATTTTTAATAGTTGTGACCATGAGTCGTCTAGTGCTTCCAGGATTGCCATGGTGATATAGCTTCAATTGACTCATGATCTCAACTATTGAAATTATTGCAATCTCCACAAAACCCTTTTATTATTATTATATAAATCGAATCGGTATAATAAAACAAAAAATAATCAGTGTTTCATTAAATGATATAAAATTATTAATGAATGTATCGATAGTGGCTAGTAATGAAATATTATGACTTGCGCTTCATTTTATTTGGGATTTGTTAGTGGAATATCTTTACAGGTATTAAATTGGTTACATTGATAGATTGTGATTTTATTATTCCAACCTTTTTAGTAGTGAAAATATTTCTATCAAGAGCTGAAATCCTTTGATTTGGATTCATCATGACATCGGTCATGAGCTGTATAAAAGGTTGTCAAATTTAATGAAGTATGCAACAATATATGACATCAGAATCAGTAAAAATACCAAAATATCTTACTCTTATTCTACTGTAGTGAAGGAGAATACAGGGGGGGGAATCAAATATGTTTAAATACAAAATTACAGAACATCTCACTAAAGTCTGCGAACCATACAG